GTGTCTTGGCAAAACCCACCCCCCCCCGGCCAAGTCCAAGGGAGCCCCAGCCCGAGGGAGACAGGCAGGGCAGCACCTCCGCCTCCCCAGCCCCACTGCCCGGCTCTACCTCATCTATTTCACACTCTGACATTTATTTTGGCTCCTTTACTCCCTCTGTTCATTAACCGATGCTTGTCGCCATGGCGACCACTGAGTCACCCGACACACAACTTCCCAGGCTCCAAACAAATACCATAACAAGGCTTAAATCACAAAGAGCCCCCCCTGACCTCCAAAGCACTCCCTGGGGTTGGAGCCCTGCCTGAGCAGCCACGGCTGAAGAGGGAGGTGGGGAAGGAGAGGGCTCCTGGCTCTGGCTCGCCCCCCGCAGCCGGGTGCCCAGAGCCCGCACATCCTGAGCCCCCATCCCTGTCCCCTGCTGCTTGCAGGTACAGCTCTGGGCTTCACCACTGGGCCCTGCTAAAGGCACTGTTACAACATCACAGGCATAACTGAAGCAGGTTTTGTGCTCACTCCAGAGCCTCCCTCCCCTGCCCACGTTTCCTTAGCCCGGGGGCAGGGGCGGTGCTGATCCCCTGCCCTGTACCACCCCAGGCCACGGCTGCGAGACCCAGGGACGTCCCTGTCCCCATGGCTGCCACGGGCTGGCTCCTCTCCTTGCCAGGAGGAAGGGCAGAGCTCCTGCCAGGCTGCTGGGGGACACTGGCTTGGGTGCCCCCAGCCCGCGGGTGCCAGGAGTCCCAGCAGCAGCACCGCACAGGCAGCTCGCGCTGCCTCTCTGGTCAATCTGGGTAATTTTCTCTCCCTGTTAGTGTGAATCCCAATTAGCCAATGTAGCTTAGTGCTACACTTCCCTGCCCAGAGCCCAGCACAGCTCTTCCCCAAAGGAACATCCTCAGTGCTCACCCGCAGCTGATGCACCCACTGGGTGCAGCCACCCCTGCCTCTTGGGTGACATTGGATTGGACGTGGAAGAGATGAACACGTACAGAACCTTTTGCATCCGCTGCTCTAGTAAAGACATCCCCTCCCTCCTGTGGAGCTGGTTTTCATTTCTTGCTCCACTTCATCTTTTGACCCTTCCCCTCCCCACCAGCTCAGAGCACCCCGAGCTGCACGTTAGATAAGGTGAGGAACACCAGGCCCTGCCTGGCCCCGGGCAGCCCCACAGGGACAACACCTCGTCCCACCAGCCTTCTGTGGCTGCTGCCTTAGGTCATTTATATTTTGATGTACAGACTCTGCACCGCACTTATTGGAGAAAGCAAAGGCAATTAATTGATTTCATCTCAGGTCTTTTTCCTCTCAAAGCCCTTTTCCCCAGGGAGGGCTGGCAGGGGAGGGGGGTTGTGAGGGAAGTATGAGTCTCGTGATGGTGAAAATACAGCGAAGAGTATTGATCCTAACCCAGAGAGCCACAAGACTAAAGAGCTCTGGTTATGGCTTTAAAATCTCATTTCTTTTCATCCAGTGGAACAGTTTTCCAGGGACTATTCTGGTTGTTACTGCTCAGTGAGCAAACTAAGAGCCAGGCTGGGGAAGATGAACTAACTCTGTTCCTTAATGAGAACAAAATCCCCCTCTCCCCTTGTTGGCTGGCTCAGCCAGGAGAAGTCCTGGGGCAAGGTCACATCTCAGCCCTCAGCTGTCTGCACCTTCCAATAAATTCAAGTGAGTTATCTCCTCAGTTGTGGTTTACAGTAATGGCCTTCCTACAGATACCTCACCACACCAAAGCTGTTTGGAGGAAGTGGTCAGGTAATTATGGTTTAAGTTCTCTGAAAATTATTATTTGTTGGAGAATCAGAGGTCCAAGCTCAGCTGCAAGTGCTGAGGCATGAGCCTGCAGCACATCCCCAGGCTCTGCACTCCCTTGAGGAACAAGAGCAAGGTACCTAAATATCTCCAAGGAATTAAAACTTCAGGGCTCAGCTTTTTTTACCTCCCACCCACCTCCCAGATGCTTGGAGAGATGCAAAGAAATTATTCCTTATTCCTTCCCTTCCCCAGCTTCACGCTCTGCAAGGAATCCTGAGGTTCTTTGCAGTAGATCCCTGCTGTGGGACTGCAAAGCTCCAGGGTCCCAGGTCCACAGGAGATGCAGCCATCACCTGGAGACCAGCAGCCACGCACGGGGCTCAGCCCAGCGCTGACACTGAGCAGCTCTGTCCTGTGTCCCCAGGAAGGGATACTGGGGTCCCCTCACCCTCTTGCCCACCTCCCACACCTCAAAACCTCTGACACAGCCTGGTTTCAAAGACAATACGAGCAGCTCAGAACCACTCCAGGGAAGGTCATTGGGATGGCTGCGGCCACCCCAGCCCCAGGGCATGGAGCGACCCGGCTGGAAGAGCTGCCCCAGCTGAGGGTGCTGCTCAGTGTGGCCGCCTGGGGAAGGAGCTGCTCCTTCCCAAAGCAGCGGAAATCTTGGGTGATTGGTCAGGCGAGTGACCTGTCCTCGCCATCAAATCACTTTTGGGACTCCCCAGCCCAAAACCTGTCCCACTTTACACACTCACACACCCGTCTGCTCAAACTCCATCGGAGAGCAGCTACACTAAGGCAAACCCTGTGCCTTGGTTTAGACCCCCCCTGCTCCATGTTCCTCTCTCTATCCCAGCTCTCTCCAATTC